GTGCCCAATATACTCTACCATTTTGCTTCTGAGCATGACTCTCATGGAGAGATTTGTCCAAGGTCACATAGATAGTAGACATCTGAGGTGGGATAATATATGCCAGACACTCTCTGTAACCTGAAGCACTGTATAAACATCATCACTCCTTATCTTCATAACCATGACCAATAACCCTGGGACAGAACACCAAGAATTATATGTGAAAGGAACAGGAACCCAACATCTGTACAGACCACAATTTCAGAATGTAACACCCACTCTTGGAGGGCTTTGAAGAACAGAAAACACTTTCCTGATCACAGTTCTGTGACGTCAGGGAGAAAAGTTCTTATGATTGCTTGATGTGGTCACGTTAGCCACACTGCTTTGGGACCCCTGTAGGGCCCATACCAGGACAAGCCTTTGCCTAATGGAAGCCATGGAAATCGATAAGAATATTGACTTGTTTGGAGCCTTCCAAAGTGTCCACACCACAGTGTCACCCAAATGAAATTAGTCCGACTCACAAATGGGCCCTATATTATTGCCTGAGCATCTGCAGGGCTGAGCCGCCACGTCTCCACCCCCTACGCTCTATTCTAGAGGGAAAGATACATTTTTCCTCTTTTATAATCCAAAGAGAACTTCCCTCTGTACCCCTGGAAAAAACCTTTCTATAAGAAAGGGGCTGACCTGTTCCTTTCTGGTTTTATAAATGGCATTTAAAAAATTATTTACCTAATAATTATCTTTTGGCTAGGGGTTTTTTCTTCCATTTTTTAAAAAAGTTTTTACATCTAGAAGTTTTGATTTGATGCAATTACAACCCCAATCAGAAGATTCTCCTCTGGCCCCCGCCTCTCTGAAACCAACCTGATCCAATAAAGGAGACAGAGTAGTGGCTAGAACACTAGACGGGAAATTGGACAACGGGGATTGAAATAATCACTTTGTACTTCCCTTGTGATCTTGAGTCTCACAGTGCCTCAGCTTTCTCTCTGTTAAAAGAGAGAAGCTGACCAGATGATCTCTAAGGTCCCTTATAGTTTTAGGTGCTATGAATTCTTTACCCAAGGTTTGCACATTTCCAAGAGCCTATTCAATTTGTATCTTTAAACAGCACCCCAACAGGGGTCTAGAAAGTTTCAGTAGAGAAAAAACTCAATCATAATACTTTTCTGTCATTTCATGGTGGCATCTGGGTGACTTGGCATTCTTAATGGTTGTGCCATGTGGAATGTAAACTCTGGCAGGTTCTATCAGTCCAATAAAATCCAGTGAATAATTATCAAGCACCTATTATGTGTAGAAATCTATGCTGGGTGCTGTGACATGAATACTGAAAAATGCAAAATAGTCTCCAACCTCAGTAAGGTTATATACTATCCAAAGAATAAAACACATTAAAAGATAATCAGCAAAGGCTTCCTGTGGGAGCTGGTACCTAATCTGACTTTTGAAAGGAGCTAAGGAATCTAAGAAGCCAAAGTCAGGAAGGCAAGCATTCCAGGCATGGGGGACAACCTGGGCAAAGTCTTAGAGGTGGCATGGGAGATGAGATATAGGAGATAGGCCACAGCATTCAGGAAATAGAAAGTAAACCAGTTTGGTTTGAATATTACCACGTTGGAATGGTTTCAATGATGGGTTTGGCAATGTACTATTTGAATGCAAGGTCCAACCTAAGTACTAGAGGCTCATCACAAAAAAGACTGGCCATGGGGTCATGATTTTGTTGGCCATGGTGACACATGAATTGGGGGAAGGTGGCTGAAGTGAGGACAAAGAAAACAGACTGAAAGAACTCATTTTCTGAGGGAATTAGGTGTAAGCTTAATCTTATGAAGACATGAAGAGAATGCCTAAGAAAGGTCAGTTTTCTCTTTTACAAAAAAAAACATCCTTTTGTGCTCAAAAAATGTTAGAGAGGCTTGATAACTAGACATCGAGCTCAATTAATGAGTCCTTAGATACATTTGATTCACACATTTTCAAAAATCAGCTACTGGTGGGTTGACATGGATTGGGATCAGATGCCAAAGGAGACAGAAGAAAGATAATGAGAGGGTTTCTAACTGCCCTTGATGAATTCAGTTCCTCCCAACAACCCAGTGAAGTAGGTAGCTATTATTATCCCCATTCCATAGATAGGGATACTGAGGAAGACAGAAGTCATGACTTGTCCAAGGTGACACAGCTAGAAAATATCTGAGACACGATTTGAACTCAGATATTCCTGACTCCAAGTCCAGTGGTCTATCCACTTCAACACTAAGGTTCTCATGGTATTCCTATGGAAGAAATAGAGGAGTGTGGATTGGATGATAGTAAGAGTAGATGAATTCTAAAATGAGTGAATGACTAGACTCAGAGTAGTCATTCGTGTTTCCATGGCCACTCAGAAGTAGATCTCCAGTGGAGACCTCACGGATCTATGTTTGATGCAGAGCTGTTTCACATTTTAACAGTGGCTTCAATCAAAGCATAAATGGCATATTCATCAGATTTTCAGATGACACAAAGCTGCCTTGGGGTAGTTAGCCCACTGAATGACAGACTACTGAGACAAAATTATCCTGACAACCTAGATATATAAGATTCAATTTAATAGAGTTCAGGATGTACTGTGGGTCAAAAGGTTTTGTTTTGTTTTGTTTTTGTTTTTTGTTTTTTTTGTTTTTTCACAAAAATAAACACAAGGAGGGGGGATAATCAGGTGTACGTTGTGGGCAACTCAAGGCAGGCATGAGGCCATCCATCCATCCTCAGAGAAGGGTCTCTCCATTGTACCTTAGACTAATGGCCAGTGTTCCTTGTAATTTGTGTGTGAGAGATGTAGATTCTGGTCAGCTGGTTTCTGGGAAGCCCAGAAGTGCACAGGCTGTCCTGATTTATCTTACTGATGATTTCTCATATTGCATGATCTTGGTACCTAATTCATGACCTCTCTGGAGTTGCAACACCTAGTTTTTGTGTAATTTAATGAATTCCTGCAGTCCCTCCCCCTCCACACATATACACACACTTAAAATTCTTCTAATTGTACTGAGTCAGAGGGTAGCATTTAGGAGTAGTTGGGAGAATATGATGACAACCTTTGAGGCTGGAAATCCTGGATCTAAATTAGAAAAGGAGGAAGGTTTAATGGACATGAAGTCAGGAGAAGCTTGGTTTCAAATTCTACCTTGTGGACTCACTAGCTATGTGCCCTAGAACAAGTCTCTCTTAACCTCTATTTCCTTATCTGCAAACCAGAGATAATATGAGTTACCCTTTCATGGTGGGCGTATTGGAGGCTCAAGTAAGATTTGGTTGGACCTGTGATCTCCTCAGTGCTAGAAACTTCCTTGGCCAATGTAGGTCAGCAACCTTCTCTGTAGCTTAGAGATTGAGAGAGTCATCCAGAGCACTTAGACCCAATGACGTGCCCAGTGTCCCAGAGCAAGTATCTGTTACAGGCAAGACTCAAATCCAAGACATCTTAACTCCAGCGCTCTCTCTTTACCTGTGATATTATTCTCCCTCTCATTTAGGGCAGGAAAGTTTGTTAGAGAACATTATTCCAGGCCCCCTTTTTTGTAAGTAATGAAAATAAAGCGGAGAAAGGTGGCTTGATTCAATTACAGTCAATTCAACAAACAGTTGAGTGTCTTCTATGTATAAGGTAGTGTCGCCTCATGGATGAGTTAGCCTCAGAGGCAGTAATAACTGGGGCAATCCCCACTCCTGCCAACTCAGTCCTGACCCGAAAGGTACTTCTGATCATATGCCTATCTGCCGGGCGTTGTCAGGTGCTGGGTGCACAAATACAGAAAGGAAACATTCCCTCTCATCAAAGAACTTAACTGCTACTGGGAGAATGGGAGGGTGCAGAGAGAACAGTAAAGAGGGCTCAGGACAGAAGTCGGGGGTGAGGAGGGGGGAGATGCATATGTAAGTGTTGGGACTTAGACGAGCACCCAGCACAAGAGTCAAAGATGAATGGTGAGTCATGTGGAAGAAGAGGCTGGAAGATCCCAGGGCATATGTAGCCTTGATGGTTCTGCCTCCATGAGGCCCCTCTGCCTTCTATCTCCATGCCCACCCAGCTGTTTCAGGGCTGCCTTATCATGAGCCTCTATGGTTGCAGAAGCCTTCCATTTACTCCATTTGAATTTTGTTTCATATAATTCATTTTAATGCAACAAGCTTTTGTGATGGGCCAACTAGGTTCCAGATGCTGTTCAGGGGATACAAAGACAGTCTCTCTGCCCTCAAGGATTTTATATTCTATAAGGAGGAAGAAGAAATAATATGTTCACATAAAATTAAATGTAGAATATGTATAAAGTAATTTTAGGGGGCACTAGCATTTGGGGAAATCAGAAAGGTCTTCATGCCAAAGATGGGTCTAGAGGTGGGCCTTGAAGGACACCAGAGAGGAGGAGGAGGGGATGTATTACAAGCATGGAGGACCAGGCATAAAGATAAGAAATGGATCATCATCACTGAGGAACAGGATGCTGGCCAGTTTATCTGAAATGTAAAGTCAGTGAAGGAGGAATTTGCAATAAGCTTCCAAAGACTCAAAGGAGCCAGATTGTAAAAAGCTTAAAATTCTCAAAAGAGAAGTTTGTATTTGATCTTAAGACAGAAGGTTTAAGCAAGGGAAGTGATGTGGCCAGACTGCACTTTAGGACTGTTTATGTAACAGCTGTGGGGAAGCTACCAATTGTGTGATTCTGGGCAAGTTTATTTAGTTTCTGTGGGTCTCAGTTTTCTCATTCTTAGAATGGGAAGAGGGGACAGTGATAATACTCAAACTCCATTTTTCAAAATGATTTAAAGTCTACGAATCCAGTTTGCAACCTAGGAAATGTTTTACAAATGTAACAGTGTAATGTTTAAAGGACTTTGTGTGTTAATTAAACCAAGAATGACTGATTTATTTAAAATGGTTGATTAAAAATACCCTCCACAAAAAGATTTGTCACCTTGGCAATAATAATTTTCTTAATTTATCTTAAATTTGATTTCAGTGAGCACCCCTAATTAACCTGATTTTTTGCTGATAATCACTCTCAATGGAATCAAATCAAAAATCCGGGGATGGATTGAGCGGCAGTCAGAAGGAAGCAGCACTCCGCGCACTCATTCAGCGCACAGGATATAGCTTGGTCCAGGTAGGAATTCTCAGTGATGTGCTCCAGAGCTCTTGTCTATGCAGCCTTGCATGTGTCTGGTCTTGGTGGGGTGATGGTCTCACCAGGTCAATGTTTGCTCCTCTGATTCCACAGATGGGTGATCTCCTTCAAGGTAAGAAGTCCCCAAAGGGAAAGTTACTAAGACAAGCTTTTTTTCCTTCAGTTGGAGAGGTGATTTTGCTTTCTTTGGATGGAATTAGGTCACAGATTTTGAGATGCAAAGGAACCTGGAGGTCATCCTTTATTTTATAGATGTGGAAATGGAGAATCCAACATGAGGAGAGTAAATAGCATAGCCAGGATTTGAACTCAGGTCCTCTGACTCCAAGGCTAGTTCTTTTTCTCCTATTCTACCCATGGTGCCACTTCCACCCTGAGGTATCAGCCTAGCTAGCATAATTATGATTTCAATTCAACTCAATTCAGCAAGCATTTATTAAACAACTATTAAATACAAGTCACTGTGTCAAAAGCTTGAAAGACAAAACCGGAAGCAAATACAATTACTGCCCTCATGGAGTTCACATTCTAATGGGACCATTTTTTTTTTTTTTTTTTGGTATAGACCCATGATTTCATCCATGTAGAGAGCTCTCTGGTGAGAAAACTAGAGGGCTAACCTCAGAGAGAGAGTGATAGGTCTCACCTGTCACATTTCTCTACGTGACTCCGGGGGTGGGGGGGGGGGGTCGTATCACTTACATTTCTGCTGACAACTCTCAAAGACTGTAAGTTGGAAAGGGGTCAGCATTGGTAGACTTGAGGGAACAACTTAGGAACTTTTGCTGAATCGAATGGAACACATAAACAGAAATGTAGATGCACTAGAGTTTGGATTCTATTGAATAAAGGCCCTTCCAACATGACACTTGTTAGAGTTTTTAAGAAATATGAGGGCTGGGTTTTGTTGAAGGCAATTTTCTGCACCTATTGTTGCAGTCATGTATATGGAAATGAGAGGACAGGAGTTCCCTGTCACAGCAATGATTGGTGGGTTGGGAAGTGGGGAGAAAACTTAAAATTAAAGAAGGGATGGAGAAAGGAGGGAGTATGGAGCAGTGGCATGAACATAGGCTCTGGAGTTAGAGGAGCTGGGATTTGAATCTCCATTCTGCCTGCTCTTTTTCTGGGTCCCTTTAGATAAGTCACTTAATCTCTCTGGGTCTATTTCCCCATATGTAAAATGAGCAGGGGTGGGGTTGGACAAAGTTCATTCCAGCTCCAGGTCTATGATATGATAAGGTTAGAATATGAAATAAGATCACAAAAGACAAAGTAGATTATTTCAATTTCATAAAATTAGAAATTATTTTCATAAAAAATACTACCAGAATAAGAAAATAGCAGTTGAATGGTGGGGGGGATTTTGCATCAAATACTTCTGATTAAAAGCCTTCAGAGATATCTAGGGGGAAAGAGTATCTCTTGGGTCATTGAGGCTGTGACAGCTTCAGAATGCCCAGGAGGAGTACTAGTGATGTCCATCTGAACCTCATGAAATGGCAGTAGGACTAGATTAGATTTCAGGGCATTGGGCTCTGGCTCTAGCTCTTCCACTAACTTGTGGGGGAAACTTCAGAAAATCTCATCTCTCAAAATTTTATATGATCTAAATTATCAGGCTATATGATCTTGAAAGTCCCTTCCAACTTTATGAGTATCTGATTTTGATTCATGGCTACATACCTGGCCCCTCAGTCTTCTGCAGGAAAGAACACTGGATGCTCAATCAGGGAATCTCAGCATCAGGAAAGACCTTGGGGGCTGTCTAGGCCACTGTGTAACCAGTCTCCAACATCCTTGTGGTTCTCATATCTTTGCCTGGAGACTTCCAGTTATGTAGAACCCACTACCTTTCAAAGCAACCTGTAATACTGTGGGGTCATCCTAATTCTTAGGGACTATGCTTTCAGTGAGCAGAAATGTGCCTCTCAGCAGCTTCCACCATTACTCTTGATTAACACCAGTAATAATGAAAACTATCTTTTTAATGGGGCTTTCAGGATTGCAAAGTGCTCTCATTTGATTTTCATAAGAACTCCATGAGGCAGGTGCTATTATTATCCCATTTTACACATGAGGAAACTGAGATTAGAGAGGTTAAGTGACCTATCCAAAGTCACACAGCTAATAAGTGTTTGAGGAGGTATTCAAATCCACTTCTTTCTGACTCCAAGGCCACCACACTCTCCACTACACCATGTTGTCTCTGGCCCTTAATAGCCAAGGTGAATCAGTCCAATTCTTCAAGTGCAAACTAGCTCTTCAATCCATCAGTCAATATTTGTTAAGCACCTGCTAAGTTTCAGGCACTAAATACTTGAATAAATCTGACAAGTCTAAGAGATCCAGTGTAAGACTTCTGGCTATCTGAATTGCCTTAGTCAAAACACTATAACCTCTCTGTGACTCAATTTCTTTATCTGTAAAATAAGCAAGTTGGACTGATGATGTCTGAGCTCCCTCCCAGCTCTAAATCCTATGAAATTCAGTAATATCGTGTACTCAGTCATCCTGAGACTCTAGAGATCAGAAAAAAAATATATCTGGGAATTGGCTGAGGACAGGCCTCTTCTTTGGCCTCTGCAACCACTGCTGTAGCCACAGAACATCATCTATAGCTGGGTACCCAGTGGACCACCTCTTGGGTGGACTACCTACTCCCACTTCTGCTTCTCCAGCCTATAAAATCAGGATCAAACCAACCCAGAGTATGGGGACAGCTGGTTAGCAAAATGACTGACCTTGGTGGCCCTAGTATTCACTACCTCATCATTTTTGAGGGGGCAGAACCCTTCCCACTTTAAATCTATATATTCATAAATTCTAATCACCGTCCTCATCATCACCACCAGCATCATGAAGCTGTTAATCATCTCTCTTTGGGGATGCACTGAAAACAGAAGCAGATTTAAACATAAATTAAACCAATTACTTGATGAGCCAACATTCCCACTGTTCTAACAAAACAGTACTGTTCTTCAATTCACCAAGTGTCTTATTTCTCCCGTGTGTTTTTTCAACTCCTCTGAGCCATAGTTCTAATCTTGATATAAACTAATTCACGTATAGATAACAAAACCCTCGAACATGGGTCAGTTTTCTTATCAAACATTTATTTGTTTCAGTTTCTCTTCATTGTTGACTTTCCAACCAATCTGAAAATGCCTTGGCCTCTGGGAAAAGGCCATAAAATCACAGAGTCTCAGAGTTGGAAGAGACCTCAGTGCCACTTGGTCCAATTTATACCTGGAAAAAGCCCCTCTTATAATATACGCAAATGGCAATCCAGTTTCTGCTGGAAGAGATTGAATGAAGGGGAGCCCACTACCTCCAAAGGCAACTCATTCCCCTTTGGGACACAGGTAGTTGTGAGGAAATTTTTCTGGATATCCATCCTAAATCAGCTCTTCTACAACTTTCACTCATTTTGTCTAAGCAGTCTGCCTTCTGGATTCAAGCAGCAAAAGTATAGTCTAAACCCCTCAGGTACCTGAAAACAGCTTGTCACGTCTCAATTGAGCCTTGTTCTCATAGATGTATACATATGTATGTCTGTATACATAGATATGTGTGCATATGTACACATTGTATATGTTTGTATAAAACATATATGTATGTGTACATGTTTGTGTTGACATCATCATCTTGGCACTTTGGGGAAATCACTTTGGTGGCCCTTCAGAGTATGGACTGGAGTGGGGCAAGATTTGAGACAGGAAGACCAGCTGGCTCTTGTAAGAGTCCAGGTGGGGTGTGACAAGAGGGGATGTGGTCCTGAATGAGGGCAGTGACTGTGCCAGGGCAGGGAAGGGGCTATATGTGAGAGATGAGGCTAAGGGGGAAACAAGCAGATGTGACCACTTCTTGGATATGTGAGGATATGAAAGGAGTCTAGGAGGTCACCAAGGCTGGGAGAAAAGCAGTGCCCTCAACAGAAATAGGAAATTTAGAAACAGGGTGCATTTGGAGGCAATGACCAATGGCTCTGTTTTGGACATGTTCGTTTTGAGTTGCCCATGGGAATACATGTATGTGTACATACATATATGCATCCATGTATGTGTGTATAATATTTTAATTTTAATATTCACAATATATAATCCATTCATGCTATTCATATTATATAATATTATAGATTGTATACATTATCTATACACTATAAATATACATATATACAATTCTATGTGTATACTATTTTTTATTTATAATGTTCATAATGTATAATTTATTCATAATATTAACATTATATAATAATATGTGTACATACATACATAGTCCCATAGGCAACTCAAAATGAACATATCCAAAATAGAGCAAATGATCATTCTTCCCAAATGCACCCTGTTTCTAAAATTTCCTGTTTCTGTTGAGGGATCTGCTTTTCTTCCAGCCTTGGTGACCTCCTGGACTCCTCTCTCTCTCTCTCCCTCTCTATCTTCCACCCCCCCCCTTCCCCCCTCTTCACATATCCAAGAAGTGGACCCATCTTCTTGTTTCTCCCTTAGCCTTATCTCTCACATCTGGCATCTTCTCTGCCCTGGCACAGTCACCACCCTCATTCAGGACCACATTCCCTCTTGCCATACTCTCCTAGACTCTGGCAAGTGACCTTCCTCATTGGTCTCCTGTCTCAAGTCTCACCCCACTCCAGTCCGTACTCTGAAGGGTCACCAAAATGATTTTCCTAAAGTACCCAATTGAGGTGCCAACACCTGCATTCAACAAACTCCAGGGGCTCCCTGTTACCTCTGGGATCAAATATAAATTTATCTGGCATTTAAATTCCTTCATAACTTTACTCTACTCTACCTTTCTAACCTCATTACATGTTACTTTCCTCTACAGACTTTATAATCCAGCCACACTGGCTTGCTTAGTGGCGTCATAGGTGGTACTCCATCTCTATACCATTGCTGTGATCTTTCCCTAAGCCTGGAAGACACTTCCCTCCTCACCTCCACCTCAGGAAATTCCTC